TCGATGCGCCCAGAGCTTTCCAACATGGTGTGCTCCACGAGCATCGAGAATATCGTTCGCCATATCTTCCACACCACTCACTCGAGGGGCAAATCCTCGTGCATCCATATCGAGAATATATCGAAGAATCACTTCCTCTTCCAGTTTAGTTAATTTATGGTTTGCTGGTCGACGTTCTTGTAGCGGGGTTGAACCATTGATTCGAGTTCGAAGTGTTGATTCAGGAATATTGTAAAGGTTAGCAACACTCCGACGACTTATCTTTTTGGATTTAGAAAGAGTTTCGATAGCTAAGATAATTCGGGCTTCTTGTGAAGGATTATTCATGGTTGGTTGTTGATTAATCGCGTGTTGAATTGAAAAGTAGTTGAATGGTGAAAAAGTGCGCAGGGTCCTGATATGCGCAGGGTCATGATAAACCACGTTATTACAAAAAAACAGATATATAACTTTTTCCTATCTACAGTCTATAAGCTTCGAAAATAATATAATACAAAGTCGTTACAAAAAAACAAATTTATAACTTCAAGTTATACTTCTCTGATTTGAATCTGATATTTGTTTTTAGTATACTAAGAGCAAATGTTTCTACGAAAACTCAGATCTCTTCAAAATTAATACTTTGCTAATCTATAAATCAGTAATAAAATCAGAATCATTAATTAGTATTGATATCATTGTAATGGTAATAAAATATCAATAGTATTATTGTGTTTCACATATTTATATTGCCTTAAGAAACTAAACTATAGAAATGCTAATACTAAAAGATATATAACGTGGTTTATCAGTGTATCGCGCATATCAGTGCCTCGCGCACTTTTTCACTACTCAATCATTTCAAAATATTATTCAATAATCACAACATATAAAATTAATTGAAACTATTCAGAACCTGATAAACTAGAGTCTTCTAAATCCTCCTGACAAGTTCGTATATTATGACCAGTTTTACCACAAGAGCCACAACGATATAAAGTTGATTGTTCCCCATTTGAACTACCTCTCTTAAAGCATTCGTCGTGTCGAATCTGATTATCTACATCGGTCTGTAATATAATATTATATCCATCTTGTATACTAAGTGTTTCTCCTTGACGAATTCGACTCTTTTTAGCTTTACAACGTTTACTCAATACCTCATTTGCCTTTCGAAAAGTACAAATCTCAGTACTCATAAGTATCATTTCATAAGCTAATATCTCTGTACCCTTAGCTAAAGCTGCAACTGTTTCAAATATAGATATAGAAGAGCTTCCTTGATATTATGCAATTCGATTTTTAATTAAGATTGATTGCCAAAGAGCATCGTTCGAGTTGTGAGATGTTTGAGAAACCCAAGGATCGAGCTTTACAGAGGAGGATCTGGTAGACGTAGATGTTCGTAATTTGATATCTAGCTTAGAAATAATAGTTTGAGGATCAAAGGGTATTAATCCAGCTCCGCAGAATCCAGATAATCCATTTTGAACAGTTATTGATTATAGATATACTGCTTTGAAGGCTATAAGGAATTCGACCTTGGTGATATAGTTGATATAAGCCTTAATATACCCCTCAATTTGTTAGCCATACATTCGTTTTAAAACACTAAAACATCCGACATTGAGTAGTTGAGTAATATGCAAAGAATAAGGAAGTAATGAAAGAGTTATAATATTGTGTTCTTTGCAATATTCTTGAAATGCAATCGATTCGTGGCTTTTGTGTCCATCTAATACTAGCATTCGATAACCACCTTGTTTTCGAGCAATAGTATGCTTATCAAAGTGTTTAATCCACTCTAAACCTGTCTCATTGTTCGTCCATCCATTATTAGTGACTTTAATCACCTAATCAAGTGGGAGATCACTCTCAGTATACCAACTCGAGAGGTGATTTTTGCCTTTAATCACTAAAAATAGAGGAATGCTTTCTTTTATACTATTGATATATATAATCGCTATAGCCCATTCTCGATTACCTGGCTGTATTGCTTTGTTTCTGCTATATTGTTTAGTATTAATTACAATTATCCCAAAATATATAATACCCATCATAAAGCCTGTTTTGTCGAAATTGTAGAAATCGTAATCGAGAATACTGTATTTCGCCTGTATATTCGATACTAATCGAAACCACCCTTCAATAAGCTTTGGATCTTCGCAAAGAGCTCTTTGGAAATCATAAACGCGATTAAAACGCGTCTTTAATTCTGACCGGCGTTATACAAATCGATGTGCCCAGAGCTTTCCAATGTAGTGTGTTCCACGAGTATCGAGAATATCATTCGCCATATCTTCCATACCACTCAATCGAGGGGCAAATCCTCGTGTGTCCATATCGAGGATATATTGAAGAATCACTTCTTCTTCTAATTTAGTTAATTTTTGAGTTGGTGGTCGACATTCCTGTAGCGGGGTTAAACCGTTCATTCGATTCCGAAGTGTTGTTTCAGGGATATTGTAGAGTTTAGCAGCACTCCGGTGACTCATTTTTTTTGATTTATTAATAGCTTCAATAGCTAAGATAATCCGAGCTTCTTTTGAAGTGTTATTCATTGTTGATTGTTGATTAAACGCGTGTTGAATTGAAGAGTTGCAAAATAGTGAAAAAGTGCGCGAGGCACTGATATGCGCGACGCACTGATAAACCACGTTATTCTATGATGATCAAAGTATCGCTTATTGCCCTAATCCTTAGCCCTACCGCTTACTACAGTTAAGTAAGTGATATCCAGACAATATCTATATTTATCTAATATCTAAAATATCTTAATGTATAACAACTTTTTTTTATAGCAAAGGGTATATAATATATAATATATTAATATATATTAAAAGTATTATATACAAATTATTTTGGTATTAATAGTATATTATTGATATTATATACAAATTATTTTGGTATTAGAGATATATTAACAGTGTTTTATATAAATTATTTTAGTATTAATAATATATTATTAATATTATATATAAATTATTTTGATATTAATAGTATGCTATTAACACTTTATATAAGTTATTTTAATATTATTTTAGCATTGCTTAGTAGTCTTTTAGTATATCGCAACAATAATCTCTAAATCTGAAATCCTCGATAGTTTTTTTTTTAGCGGTATGTC